TGGATAGGCCATGGCGGGGCCTCCGGAAGCCCCTGGGAGACCATGGCTGGGAGCCTGGAGGCCTGGATGGGAGGCCCAGAGTGGCAGAGGGGTACTCACCCCATCCAGTGTTTGGTGTGCCCCTAGGAGAGCCAGGGCTTCCCAAGGAGCCACGTGGCCTGTTCACCCCCAGGAGCTCCACGGGCTCTAGTTGGAGATTCCATAGCGCCAGGTCTGATGAACAAATTCCTTTACTCTGCCTGCCTGCTCTAGACTAGTACTGTGCAGTTACAGTCGGAGAGACAGGCAGTGGTACGGCAGTGTGGGGACCTATCCTCCTTGTTCCTTTGTCACCTTGACACAAACCAACATAAGGAAAGAGGGCGCCTCAACTAAGGAATTTCCTCCATCAGATCTGCCTGTGGCCATATCTGTGGGGTATTTTCTTGATTGCTAATTACTGGATAAGGGCCCAGACCACTGCAATTCCTAGGTAACTAAGCAAGCCAGTAAGTACCATTCATCCATGGTTTTTGCTTCATTTCCTGCCTTGAGGACAGGATAGGGCCACTACAGCACCACACTGGGTGTGATGTACCAAATGCAGGTGGAGCTGGTGCCTATGGTGGGAGCGATGAGGGGCTGGCTTGTACTGTGCGGGGGGTGGGGGGCCAGGTGTGACAGATGGGGTGTGGTCATCGGGGAGGCATGGCAAGCTGTGACCATAGGCTTTGACCCGGCAGGGTGGCAGTGAGGGAGCAATGAACGGGACATTTGGTTCCATGAATCTTCTAGTCCTCCCGTGCCTCCAGCTGATGCAGAGACCAGGAAGCCTTGGACCCACTCTTGGGAGATGTGGGAGGGAGAGCTGGGTTGTACTTTCCCCAGGAAGCCCTGTGGCCAAGTCAAGCAGCCACTGTGTGGCCTTAGGAGGCTGAGGTGGGTGGTCTGGGCCTTAAGCACTGGACAGACTGGACATGGGACAGGTGGGATATGAGTAGGTTCCTGAGTAGTGGGCAGGGGGGGAGTCTGTGCTGTGGTCCTGATCACTTTGCATGTGGCTTCTCTGTCTGCCTCTCCTGCAGCCCTGGGGCCATGTCAGCTCTCCCTCTCCCCTCTGATCCCTGAGAATTTGCCATGAGGGAGTGTGGACTCTCCAAAGTATCCCCCCCCACACACCCCTGAGCATCTCCCTATCCATAGCCCTGATCTCCAGGCAGGGGCAGGGCTGGGGGCCCCTTGGCTTGGTGGCACCCAGGACGAGGAGCCCAGTGGAAGGGAACTTACCTTTTTGGCACCCTTTGAATCAGAGCAGGCAACTGTACCCTCTGTGTACCATCTGTGCCTTTAGGGCACCCACAGGGCACCAGGCTATACTTGACTTTCCTATCTTGGATCTCCCAGCTAGCTGGTGGCCGTACCCTTTCCTGTGCTCCTGGGGGTGGGGCCTTCATTTCTCTTTGGAAATACTTTGTAAAGGCAGCTTTTTTTGAACTATAATTTTACACTTATGTTCTTGGGCATTTTGAGACTGGACTGTTGGTCACCAAGCTGTATGCCATTTCTGTGGGTTGACTGGTTCAGGATACAGTCATGTGGCCTGTGGTCTCAGGAGGTGTGACTATGCAATGTGGCTTTTTTTTTTTTTGCACATATTGAGGCACCAACCTGGGGTCAATGCTCATGATGGTGAATGACTTCCATCCTATGAGCCCCACATTTTGAGTGTACTAGCTGAGGGAGCCCTGGGTTTGGCAACACTGAAGACCTTGCACGTGGAGGTGTCTAGGGTGGGAGGGAGGTGCAGAGCAGCTGGTCTGGGCACTTACTGCACGTCCCCTGTCTCACAGCTTCCTCATCGTCCTGATCTGTCTCATCTTCAGTGTCCTGTCTACCATCGACCAATATGCAGCCCTGGCCATCGGGACCCTCTTCTGGATGGTATGTAGGCAAGCAGGGCCGTCACTGGATGGTGGCAGAGGTGGATGTGGGCTGAGTAGAGCCTCCCCTGGTCTTCACCACCCTGGTACTGCGGTAGCAGACTGACAGATGCCCTGTACCATGCCTGCCAGGCCCTGTTGACTATGTGTTGAGGGGCCTGGAGCTGGTTGTGGGGAGGACTTCTGAACTAGAACCATAAAGGAGGATAGGAGGACATGGGCATAGGGGCCCTCAGGGGTGACGGGTGGAGCGGTGCCCAGGGCTGGGTGATTCTTTTGTTACTTCTGGTTCATGGGCCCTGCAGGTGTGCCAGACCCCCCCCCAGTCCCCAGAATGGGCTCTTCTATCACCCCAGAAGGCTGTCATGTGCCAGGTCTCGCAGGACCACCCTGGCAGCCCTCATAGGTGCCAACTACCTTGGTGCACACTCCGGGTCTCCTTCCCTGCAGCTTAGAGCAGCATGTGGGCAGGTTGGGGACTGGAATTCCCAACTTCCAGGCCCAACCATGAGCCTCCATGCCCTATGTAAAACCATATACTGTGGGGGGCTTGAGGACTGCCCTGTGTAGCCCCCACTCTATGATGGGCTTGGAGACTGTTCTATATGACCCCTCCACTCTCTGAGGGGCTTGGAGACTGTCCTGAGTGACCGCCCCCCACTCTCTGAGAGGCTTAGGAACTGTCATGTGTGATCCTACACATTGTGAGGGGCTTGGAAACTGTCCTGAGTGGCTCACACTCTTTGAGATGGTCCCGAGTGAACTCCCATTCTATTAAAGAATTGGGGACTGTCTTATGTGACCCCATACACTATGAGGGACTAGGAGACTATCTTCTCTAGCAACTGTGTGCCCCTGAGATAGGACCTGGTTTGGACCTTGAAACAGGGGTGGGTGGACTTTGGCAGGGCAACCAAAAACCCAGAGCCAGTGTCTGTGAGGGTGGGGCACCCGCAGGAAATTGTTCACTTCGGGCCAGGCATGGGGACCTGGAGGTGGGTGCAGGCCACTGTGCTTGGGGGCATGAGGGTCAAACGGTGAGGAGACCCAGCAGGAGCACTGTGCTTTGGTATGTTTGTGTTTTGATTGTTTGTGGAACAGTCCTGACTTCACAGAAAACCAAGGACCACAGTCAGCTACCCTTGACCTTTTACATGGAGGGCCTGGACTGGCTCTGTCGTATCATGTGGTGTCTGCCAGCCAAGGAGTCCCATACTGCTTGGTCCCAAATCATAGCAGTGACTGCTCAGTGGACCTGTTTTTTAAGCATTCAACTTGATCTTTCCTTTATTGCTTCTAGATTAAGCCACAGGCAAATGTCTGCTCCCTGAGTTATAGAGATCACTATCTCTGGCCCAAGTGTGACATTTTCTTACTTGGGTTTGGACAGTCCTGTGTGATGCTACAGATGGCTTCAGGGTCTCCAGGAGAGTGGGGCGAGGCAGACACAGCCCTGTTCTGTCCCTGCCTCTCCAGTCACACCTTACCATTCATTCCAAAACCCACATCTGGAAGGTGTGCCTTCACTGTAGACCAGATCAGACATGAGGCCTGTTGGGGGATACCTAGTTCTTATCAACAGGCCATGAGAGGATCCATTTGTAAAGGATCCTTCTGTCCAGGCTCCTGCACCCTGTGGGGGTGTGCGCACCTGCCCAAGGCTGCTTTTGTCCAGGTCCCTCCTCCCAGCCCAACAATCAAGGCATCCATCTCTGGACACACCTAGTGGCATGTGATTAACTCAGTTGGGGAACCATGTGGCTATGGAATCCAAGCCACAGTGCACTGTGTGTGTGTGTGTGTGTGTGTGTGTGTGTGTGTGTGCGTGTGTGTGTGTGTGTGTGTGTGTGTGTGGCATTGGTTGTGTGTGTACGTTTTCCACAGCTAGTACATAAGTAATCACAAGCTGTCATTGGAAGTTGTGGTCGCTAGGGGGCGACTTCACTGCTGGTGTTGTCTGGACTTTATGGGATTCACACAGCCTGCCGTGTCCCCACCCTTCACAGTGGTGCTGGAGCTGTTGTCATTAGACTTGCAGCATAGGTCAGTGCTGGCCTTTTGCAGAACATCTGGCCAGCATGCATGTCCTGTGCCTGGCAGGATGCTGTAGAATATTATCTGGTGTCTCTCTTAATGTGTTCACTAGCCAGCCTCAGTTTCCTGGGTTCCAGGGTATGGTCTCTCACGCCCTGTCAGATGGTACCCTTCTGTGGACTTTGACAAGACCCGTGCACGTGCATCCTCTCCTCTCACAGAGCCAGGGTGAGAGGGCCCTGGGTGCTCTTGTTTCATGTGTGATGACATCCCCATGATTGTCACCTGCTCTGGACTGTTCCCTTGCCCACAGATGTGGCTCTCATACACGCAAGGTGAAATCACTGGCTGTGTTGTGGGAGGACATTGAGCTTGGATGCGGCTATGGGGAGTGACCTAGGCTCTTCCCCAGGGAGCTAGGACTCTGGGGTCCCAGGCCTGGGACTTGTTCTGCAGAGCCTGGGCCAATAGTGTCTGCCAGTTCCCTGGCTGTGAGGGGCCAGAACGCTTCCTTGGAAAGTCTCTGAGTACATACCTGTGTGTGTACACATGTGTGAGCTTGCACTGGAGATGTATGCACACATGTATGTACCCATGTGTCTGAATACATACATTCATGAATACAGCTGTCTTTAGCAAGTGTGTGGGGTCTGATCATGTATGTGTGAGCTTGGGGGGGCATTTACATGTATTTGACTGTGTATGCATGTGCACACATGCACTGAGTGCATGGGTACGTATGTGTGTCTAATCATGCATGTGGGTTGTGTCTGCAGCTAGTTATGTTCATGTCTATCTGTAAGTGTTCTCATATGTGTGTTCATGTGTCACATGTTTAAATGTGTGAGCGCCCGTGATACCACAGGCACTGCATGGTTCCTTACCTGTTAACCCTGGTCTTGGGTTGACGGGCCCCTCAGTCTCCAGTGACTTCATCTGGGTCAGGCTCTCCCCTCAGGCCAGGCCCCCCAAATCCCTGGGACCTTTGCTCCACCTGGTGGCTGCTCTAGGCATTCTGCACAGGGGTCCCACAGCCCTAAAGCCAAGGCGGTTGTGGGTGGGACCTTGTGATGGCCACACCTTCCTTCCCTTGGTGAGCAGGTCCCCGGTCCCGAGCCAGCCCCTCCCCACTCTGTTCCGCCTCCCAGAAGTGGTTCTTTGTCCACCACAGTGAGGGCAGAGACCCCATTACCTCTTTGTCCTCGTCTGTTACTGGGATGCGCTCTCCCCACAACAGTTAGGAAGAGACTATGGAACAAACCCCCGAGCACCCCAGAAGCTCTCTGAAGCCACTTCTCTCTCGTGGCCCCCAGAGTGTAGCACATTCAGAGCCCTTCCCCCACCTCTCCCCGCCTCTCCTTCCCATCACTAAGTGCTGCCCGGCCTGGCTGCTCTCTGCTGTCTTGCAGTTCTAACCCTCTGTCCTTCCAGGCACACCTTGCTCTTCCGTGGGAAGCTGGGTGTGAGGGAGCCCTGTGGGTCCACATCTTCCATACTTTGCCACCATGCCGGGGCAGGCTCCATACTTTACCTCAACCTCCTAGGATAGTATTTCTAAGGTAGGACATCCTCCTTTTCAAGTCTAGTTCCCAGAGCTACCCCAAAGGGAGCCTAAGTTTCCCTAGCTGTAAGAATAAAGATGAAAAACAGCCTGTCTTGGCTTTACTTTCTGACTGTGCCAGATTCATTGTTTGTTTGTTTGTTGGGACAGGGTCTCTCTGAAGCCACAGCTGGTCTGGACCTCACCATGTAGACCAGACTGACCTTGCTCTCACAGAGCTCCACCTGCCTCTGCCTCCCAAGTGCTGGGACTCAAGGTGTGCACCACCACGCCCAGATTCTATGTTTAAAAATATTTATTTTTTGCTGGGTGTGGTGGCGCACACCTTTAATCCCAGCACCCAAGAGACAGAGGCAGGCAGATCCCTGTGAGTTCAAGGCCAGCCTGGTCTACATAGTGAGTTCCAGGACAGCTGGGGCTACAGGGAGACCCTGCCTGCAAAAAAAATAGTTATTTTTTATTTGTGTGTGTTTACATGTGTGTACACACTGAGGCGAGAAGAGGGTGTCATCCTCTGGAGTTACAGGCAATTGTGAACTACCAAAAATGGGTGCTAGGAACCAAACCTGGGTCCTCCACCTCAAACTTGGGTGCTATTAACTGCCAAACCACCTCTCCAGTCCCTACTTGGTTACATTCTTAAGCCATGCCCTCACACTTGCTGACCTTTGGAGGCTGTCCTCCCCAGGTGGGTGTGAACCAGCCATATCTAGCTGCTTACTCCAATGTGGTGTTGGGGTGGTGGGGATGAGGCAGGTGTGTGCCCAGCCTGGATGGGTGGACCAGGAGGGATATGTGTGGCTCTAAGGGACATGCACGTGGGATGGTGGCGATTGGTGAGAGGGTAGGGTGAGGAGGAGCTGTGTGCTGTGACAGATAGGGACCCTGCAGCCCATGGCCTCCCCAGCGTGGATGAGCCCCAGGCTCTTGGTATAGGCAGACATCAGGGCTAGGGGTTCCAGAACTCCAGGCCTCAAGGGAAAGTGGGGCTGTGGGCTCCCTGGGGAGTGTCACGGTGTGATTGGGGTGCTGTGTGCAGAGGATGGGAGTGGGGTCAGGAGCAAGGGGGTATTTGTTTCACTCCTGGGGCGGAGGACAGGGCAGCCTCTGCCAGGCGGTGTGGACTCCAGGTGGCGCCCTTGTCTCATGAATTTCAGCTGCCCTTGGGTCTGGGCCCAGAGTGCTGAGCGCTGGAGCCCAAACCACAGCCTGGGGTGCCCCACGGGGGCCCAGGGTGAGGGAGCTCTGCGAAGGATTCTGGGAGCACACTGGGTAGAATTGGTGGAGAAAAAGTCACGCGAGGCTGCGTTCCTGAGCCCCAGGGTTGGTGCTCCTGCCGCAGCGCCTCGCGTTTGCAGTGCCAGAACGCTGTTATCTCAGCCAGGGCCAAGGAAGCCAGGCGGCCT